CCGAACATAGGGGACCCAAATATAGTACCCCCAAAAATGCAGGATCCTTATTCTAAGGTCCCCAAAATCAGGTACCCCAAACCCTAAACCCTAAACCCTAAACCCTAAACCCTAATTTTCGGAAACTCCCACATCTGGTTTTCGAAACTTGGCGAGGCGAGAGCTTGGACACATGAGTTTAGGGTTTAGGGTTTAGAGTTTAGGGTTTAGGGTTTAGGGTTTAGGGTTTAGGGTTTCTAGACCCCAACAGCAGAAGCAAGTACTTACCCATGGGCCCTAAAGTAGTTCCTTTTTGGGGTTACCTTTTAGGATTCTATATATGAACCCCGAAAAGGGAACTACTTTAGGGGCTATGGGTAGGGTTAAGGGTTGAATCAGAGTGGTGCTCCTGCGTCTCCCGTCAACTGCTACAAACTGCACACATGCAGACAAACCTGCAGGACAGAGCAAGCATGCAGCAGCAGCACAAGCAGCAGCACCAAGTACTGGCACTAGGTGCAAGTGCTAGTGCTAGTCCTAGTGCTGGACTTTAGCCTCCAACTGTTCTGGAGTCGTCCGCAGAGCAAGGGCTCAAGTTGCGGCTTTGATATTTGGCAGAAGACGCGGATTTCAAGGTGAACCTTCGCTTCTTGCAGAACCTGGCGCCAACCTGAACGACACGGTGGCCAAATTCAAGCGACTGGCATCATGCAGTTGCTTGCACAGCAGACCAGGCAGACCTCAGCCCGCATAGTGTGGACTGCGAGGGTTTAGGGTTTAGGGCCTATATGGGACGCAAGGCCGCAGCCCCAAGCCTAAGCCATCAAGGGCTGGAATGAACCGTAAACCTTCAGACCTAAACCCTAAACCCTGATCCATTAAGAAAAACCCTGAACCCTAAACCCTCAGCCCTAAACCCTAAGCCCTAATGATCAGGCGCTGTTGGATGCCGTAGCTGGCCTTCATGCAAGCGGTGTTTGCCCAAGGAGCTTAGGAGCTGAGTAGGGTGGGTTTAGGGTTTTAGGGTTCAATGTTCAGCGTTTAGGGTGTATAGGGTTTAGGGTTTAGGGCTTATAGGGTCTAGGGTTCAGGGTTTATAGGGTTTGGGGTTTAGTTTAATCAGGCAGAGCGCCTTCTCCAGGGTTTGGGGTGTGCTTTCCTTCTCTTTTTTAAACGGTTTAGGGTTTAGGGTTTAGGGTTTAGGGCCTGTAAGGATGCCTCAACGGGGTCTTGAATTTCAAGTCCTTTAGGGTTCCTCCTGGGGTTCTTTTTAGTTGATAACTCGAAATTTCCTGAGTTTACTATAGGCGCCTAAATAATTACCTAAACTATTTTAGGGGGGCTCCTTATTACAATTATAGTACAAGGGGTCCTAAAACCCTATTCTAATGAATAAGGCCCCAAAATTACTGTTTTGAGTTTGGTTGATAGGCTTTTCTTAAAAGTTACCGCCTTACCGAGCAAGCAAGACCCGATCTTCACCTTGAATCAGCACCCTAAACCCTAGACCCTAAACCCTAAAATCTAAA